AGAGAGACGGTTTGGACCTCCTCCCACCGAGTGTATCAGGTCAATGTTAACTAATTACTAAATAAAAATGTGTTCTGCGCTATCCTTAAAATATCAATTTCTTAATTTGGGGTTGGAAAAGTGGGGGTCATCTTGTACATGGGGGCGTCTTATTGATGGAAAAATACGGTAATATTTATAATCACATTTAAAGATATAATTATTGTTTATAACCAAAAATGTATAATTTGCTCTACCCATTATATACTTGAGTACAATATAAATCCTATTTTAGAAGAACTTTTCAGATGACAATAGTGAATTGCAGCTCCATTCAGCTGTTGGAAAAGTGGGGGTCATCTTGTACATGGGGGCGTCTTATTGATGGAAAAATACGGTAATATTTATAATCACATTTAAAGATATAATTATTGTTTATAACCAAAAATGTATAATTTGCTCTACCCATTATATACTTGAGTACAATATGAATCCTATTTTAGAAGAACTTTTCAGATGACAATAGTGAATTGCAGCTCCATTCAGCTTGCTAAAATCTCATGTGGAGGGTTTTTGATATAATTGTTGCAAAAAGTTAGTGTTTAAGCTATTGCATTGCTTGTGGCACACTGGTAATGGGAAGGAGAGCTAAATCCCAGTTGCTATTCAACCGGGAGGTTTTATTCAGGATGGGAATTGAGAAAATTGAATTTTCTCAATTTTGGCAAAATTGGGTTCCCTTAGCATATGCATCCAAGGCCAGAATTGACCAACATGGTAATCCCAAAAAGCCCATCTACAGGAGGGTTTAGCAGGTTGTTTGAACACAACCAAGGTGCAAAACTGGCATCTGTATCTCTTGATGGCCATGTAGGTTGAAAGGTACGTGGGCAGGGAACCCAGTTACTGTAGAGCTTTGATATCTGGGAGAGTCAAGATGGAAGAATGCTCTACTGTAAGTGGCATACTGCTGATATGGTACAGCCAGGGACAGGGACATTTCTGAGCCAGGAAGAAAGTACAGCACCATGCTCACCACTTGGGTAGCTTCTGGTAAAAGTGATATGCTCACTCAGCTCATTTTGCAATTATCAGTATCATTCTTAAAAGGTTGTCACACAAACTAATTTATAATTTTAAGGAATCATGGCACCACAGTGTTTGAGAACCTCTGCAAAACCCTATGAACAAAGAACACCTGCTAATTTTGTTTTACATTTTTCAGGAGACACTGATAGATTGGTGTGATGAAAAGGAACTCAACTTGATTTTAACAACTGGAGGAACAGGATTTGCACCAAGGGATGTCACACCAGAGGTGAGATAGTTTATTTTCCTGTTTTAAGCCATCAATATTTCTCAAACACTAATATTGTTGTTTTGTATATGGTGCTTCAGAAGTTGTATATTTGATATGATATGAACATTCTCTTCTTAAAGAAATAAAAATACCTTTATTAAACAACTGAGAAAATACAATTGATTTTTCCTGACTGCCACCAAGAGGCTAGTATTTTGTCTATAGGCTACTTTGCAGTGTTCTTGTTTATCTTTGGTAATATATATCTCTAATTCGGACATGGAGATTTTTCTTTGATAGTGGCTTTCAGGGTAGAAAGTAGATATCCTTATGGCAAGTTCCTTACTACCCAGTTTATGGTCTTAATTTAGTCAGTACTGTTCACTCAATTTTTGCAATCTCTGCTCTCATACCAGAATATTCTCTTTTAGAAATATTTATGGTATGAAACTATGGCGTTCATCTGCTGTTCTCGTTTGAGATATTTGGCATAGTCAATAAACCGTTATTTCTTATGTATATTACTATTAAAGGGGCTTAATAATGTATTTTCTGGCAAAATTACGTCCCTTTAGCATATGTGTCCCATGTTGTTTAATTGTTACTGTAAAATGGCATGTGTATGGTTAAGGAAATCACTTACAATCAAGTATGCTGATGGTGTCCTGTTGAGTGGGAGTATATGGAATACCCATTTGATGGTGATCTCACCATTCACATTTCTGTCCATTATAATGTGGAATTGTACAATGGAAAATAGAGCAGAAGGAATTTCTATATACCATCTCTATATCTGAATGGAGATCTGCATATCAATACTCTTTCTTTCATCAGGAAACTGGAACTTTAACTTAGATTTCATCCACATGCCAGCTGTTAGAAAAAGTGAATCATATATGGGCATAACTCATATTAATTTCATTCTCTGAACTGTATGTGTTGAGAATAAATATATTTTGGTATTTGATTGTTATAATTTAGATGGTCTAAATGAACAAATATTTACGTGTAGCATACAGTTGTATTTTTATTCAGTCCTATTTTAATTGCCTTAAAACTTGCAAATAGGGTGTTGTTTGAAATTTAGAATTTGTATTCCAAACAAGCAGCATTTGCTTGAAAATGGAGGTGATGTGGACACACACAAAAAAAACACTACTACCTAAGGCAGAATTTTTTGAACACACACACACACACACACACACATGAAGGTGTATTTCTTTATCATCGTTGCCAAAGTGAGGCTAAAAAGTGATAATATCATACTTGACTAAACATTCCCTCTGTTGCTGATCTTGAGTGGGCCTATATTGATTGATTTAGGTATTAAACAGGAAACAGAGGCTGCTTCATGTTTGAATAATATAAAATTTTGTAATTAAAAAAAACACAGAAGGGCCAATTTTCCCAAGAACAGTAAAAAGAGAATTGTAATTGAGACAAAGAGAAAATGAAACTGAACAAGGAGCTATCAAATAAGGAACAAATGTGAAGGCAAGGGTCTGCTAAGTTGCCCACTCATAGCATGTGCACATTTTGATAGATGAAGGCAAACAAACTAGGGAGAAGCAGTGAGTGAGAAGAAAATGACTCTTTAGTATGCTCCACTGTCTATGCCACTTTTCTGGATAGCCTAGAAGACTCAACTAACCCTTAGTGGTTTAAACCTAATGCAACCTCCCCCCTCTTCATACATAGTATTAAACTAACTCCACCTACTCAGCCTTGTGGGAAAACTTAAACTCAGTTGATCTCTTTTGCAGAGCCCTATTTCTAAGAAACACAGCTGGAAAGAAAGACGTAAAGTCTCTTCATTATAGAACTCCCTACTAAGGTCAGACAGCATGGAACAGACTTCCCAAACAGTGCTAATCTCTATCAATTAATCTGATCTTTTCTGAGAGTAGATTTCTAAGGATAAAGGTGTTCTTCAAAGATAGGTATTTGTATTGTTCCTCTCACTTTAGTTATAATGTATAGATACTTATCATTTTACCATTATGTTAATATTTTTGCATCAAATCTAGCAGCATAATTGATTAGTAAACTACATTCTAGTAAATGTATCTTACTAGAATTAGTTTAACACATTCTAGTAAACTATTAAAGTAAAATTTTTAAAAAAGACAAAGAATTCTGTAAAACAGAAAAACAGATAAGAATTTTGCTGTGGTATTCACTGCTCATTTTTTCCATTTACTAATACTCGATCTGGACCATTTAAATTGAAGCTATATTTACAGTATGAGTATGTTCTTAATTTCAGATTGAATATTTTTTTTATCAAATTTTGTATTTTGAATTGGTCAATACATATTTGGGCTAGATGTAGATTTTAATTGGCATTGAAAACAATGGAACACTAAGGATACATTATATTTGTTACTGTTCCCTCCCTTTCTCATTACATAGAAGTGGTAATTACTAAGGCATTTTTCTTAAGACTGTGCTCTGAAATTATAGATTCTTAACATGGTACAGAATGGGAATATTTGTAGTGGTTTTTAAACTCATCAGAGGAAGACATAAGCAACTAACTTATCTTGCCTTGCTCAGATAACACTTATTGAGAGTGGCAGTATACTGAATTCAGGGATGGACAGGATCATCCTCAAATCAGAATGACTTTTGTGATAGTTTGCTCCATTGACATAATTTTAGATCTATGCAAAATTGCAGGAATGAAGAGAATGATACGGTTGCTACCACGACACCCCTTATAATACTCTTATAATAAACGGTTAGGCTTAAGGATACCACAAAACTGTCTTTATAATTTAAAGATAGTTAATTATTATTTAAATAGTGTCATTCAATAGTTCATTACATTCTACAGAGTATAGAGGAGGAATGGTTTTGTTAGCATTGTGTTGGTTAAATCCAAAAGTACCGTGGCAAAACGGTGAAATTGAAATGTTGGTTAACTTAGGCTTGCTGTTTTGTTGGGTCTGGAGATTTTATTTGTTGATTTGATAGTATTTGTAAACTGCTTAGAGTTTTTGGAATGTGGCAACATACATATATTTGTATAAATAAATAAACAAATTTTACATATGCCCAGAATAAAATGCAGTATTTACAATGCTGAAAATAATGGCAAAAATAAAGGTGAAATAGGAGAGAAATTTGAAAACATTCAGAGATTTTTGTTGAGATTTTTCCAAAACAATATTCTTTTCACAAAAAAAAAAATGAATAAAGGATTTCTGGTGAAAGATGGATTTAGAGTAGCATATTGCATAAATGAATAAAAGGGCATGTGGTATGTTAAAAAAATTTTTTTAAATACCCAAAACTGTAAAGATGAAGTTAGTAAAAGGCTGCTGAACTGGCATCTTCTAGGTAAATATGCTGTTATTTTTCCTTAAAGAGAGTTTTAATTGGTTACTCAAGTTGTTGATTTCATCTTTATCTTTTAAAATTTGCTTTTTTCTTTTTTTTCTTTCTATTAATAAATGTATTATTTAAACATTTTTAAAAAGTATATGTATCAAAAAGCAACAAACATTTGAGGGTTATTTTCTGTGTTCTGTTAGAAAATCAGAAGGTAAAAGGTTAAGATGTGTACTCAATTTGATGCAAAATCTGATGATCACATTTATTCTTTGATTTTTTTAAAAAAACTGCTTAAATTATTGTTCATGATAGCCCAAGTAGCCTGTTCAAATATTACATCCAAAAGCTATGTTAAAGAAGCTATGTCAAAGAAGCTGTTCTTTAGAGAGCTTCCTTAACCCTTGTTTGGAGCCATACCAGTGATAAATTTAGTACTGGTTACCTCATGCTCAACGTTTTCCAAAGGCTTTACCTTGAGGCTTAGTTGTGACATTTTCCAAACCACTTCTATTTTTAGCCATGGTATTAATCTCATCAACCCACCTCTGCCTTCTCCAGTATTTCTTCCAACTCTGGGAGAGCTATTATAATTCCATCAGCATCAAAAAAACAAGTTCAAATAGCATTTCTGAACACCATAATAGTAATCAGACATTCAAGAAGGAAGAGATGTTCTTCATTTTTCATCTAGAAGGCTGAACATGTGCAAGAGAACCAGAGAAATTCAATTTAAGTTTCAGATGTGAGGAGTTAGCCTCTGTTTTCTCATCTAAAATGGTTTCCAGAGCCAAAGTGCTGGGTTTGGATGGAGAAATCTTAGACCACTCTCTGGTGTCTCCTCTAAAATGGCATGACACAAGTGCTTCAGTCTTGTTTGCCAAGATGTCAACCTGGTAGACTGAAATTTGTATCATAATTTCAAGACATCCAAATCACAACCCTACTGGATCTGTGTACTTGAACTCTACAACACAATAACTATATTATTACTTATTTCTTTCTCTACTGACTCTGAATCATGGCAAGTTTTTGTCACCTTTCTACCACCTCCCAATTCCTTGTGAATATCCTCTACCTTATGATTCAGACCCAGATAATTATTACTCTGGCTCTTCCACCAAGTTTTCAGGCCAACCTTCCCTTATCACCCAGTCAGACAGTGGAAGACAGTTAGCATCCTCTCTATCTGAGGTTACTAAATCCTATCCAGAATAATCACTACAATTTGCAGAAGTGTTAGATCTTGAAGTTCATTGGGGAAAATCATCATTATGCAAGTCAATATGCCATCATATCAACTCCAGCTCTTAAGAACTAGTAGCCATGCCAAAATCACCAGCTCCTTTCCAGTTGTAAATGACATCCAGTAGCACCCTACTTCTGCATCTTCAAACCTCCACGTTTTTTTGGGGGGGGGGAGTGTTTTGTTTTGTTTGGCTTTTGGAGCCTAAATTACTATGGCTGGATTATCATTCTTTTTTAGTGTTCTGCTTTTTAGCATTTGACTTTTGAGTTTGCTACTACTTTCCTATCCAATTTTAATTACCACAAATATATATCTGACAAATCCATCTCCTTGATAAGAAATCCTTCTCATCAAGATTTATTTATTTATTTATTTATTTATTCCATTTATATAGCTGCCCATCTCAATAATATAAGTTTCTTGCATCACCCCCACC